ACCTGGAAGGGGATTTTGTTGCTTTCCAGGAACTGTCGCCACGTGAGTAATGCCCAATGTATCCCATAAGCCTCCTTCTCCCATACGGGCCAGCGCTGTTCTGTGTCCGTGAGTTTCTTGGATATATATGCACAGGGTTGCAATACTGCATCATTATTTTCTTGTAATAGCACAGCCCCCACTGCCACATCACTTGCATCTGCCTGTATTATGAAGGGCTTGTCCATATCTGGGTGCCTTAGTACTGGTTCGGCAGAAAAAAGTCTCTTTAGTCTCTCAAACGCTGCTTGGCACTCCATTGTCCATGTTAGTGGCTGGCTAGATTTTACTGAGGATGCTCCCTTCGTTTTTAGTAAGTTAGTGAGGGGCAAGATTATCATTGGGCATTCCATACCTGGGGTCACCACAAACGTTATGTCTTCTTCATGGTTGCCCAGGGAGAGGTGTATTGGCAGAGTGGCTAGGGTAGCTGGCACCCCCCCTGCTATGGATCCATCTAGCTGGCCAAATAGATTGGTTGTTCCAGTCTCCTGGATGGGATGCCCAGATTCCCCACTAGTGTTGGGCTAATGAGGCAGCGGGTGCAGCCAGAGTCTATTAAGGCTTTCACCTTCACAGCTTCGGGCATGGGGGGGGATTAATATAGTCACTGTTTTGAGGATGGGTGTGATGCATCCACTTACCAGGGGTTCGCCCTCCGAGCTGTCATCTGAGGCATCCACCGGCCCTGTGGTGTAGGCTGGAGTTCTTTCCCCTTGGTGAGCAGAAGTGGGGGGTTCTGCAATTTCCATCATTCTCATGGCTGTTTCTTTTGGCTTAGCTGAAGACTTTCCGGGTTTGTTGATTGGGGATCTGTCTGGGTTGTGCTGGGGGGCCTTTGAGCGGCATTCTACAGCTCGATGCCCTTCTCTTCCGCACTTGAAACACCCCATTTGCTTCTTGGCTGTATCCGATGATTTCACCGGTTGGTGTGTCAGCTCAGGCGGGGGGCGGCTCCATTGTTTTCCTCGGCGGTGCCTCTTCAATATGTCGATCTCTGCTTCCTCTGCCAAGACATACCATTCCTCAAGTCGAGGTGGGTCCCCTCGGGGCAGGCAAGCATCATATAGATCATAGTTTAGTCCGTCTTTGAAATGGCCAAGGAGGATGTCTTCTGGCCAATTCAGTTTGCTGGCAATGGCCCGGAATTCTTGTGTATACTCAGCCACTGGGCGTTTGCCTTGCCTCATCGTTTTTATACTTTCACGGGCTTTGCGATCAGCCAGGGGGTCTTCAAATCGTCTTCTCAAAGAGGACATGAAACGGTTGAAGTTACTGAGTTCTGGGGCATTGGAGTCATGCAAGTTCACCACCCAATCTGCAGCTGGTCCATCCAGGGCAGATTGCACTATCCGGATGCGGGCTTTGTCGCTGGGAATGTCCTGCCCATATTCCTCCATGTAGCTGAGGACTTGGGTTAGGAAAAACCCCAAGCGTGTTGGCTCCCCTTTGAATTTCACCTCCAACGGTGGACGTCTTGGAATGGATCGGTGCCTCCGTTGTGGGTGGTAGTGTCTTCCGTCCAGATTGCCATCTGTGGTCCGGTAGGGGGTGGGGGCTCCTGGATCAGTAGATGTCCCTGGGGTTGCAGGTTCCACGTCCCCCTCGGTGTCTCTCCCTTTGCGGCTCCAGGAGCTGGGGCGGCCGTAGGGCTCAGTATTCTCCTCTCCTAGGAAGCTGAGAGTTCTCTTCATCAGGTCAATAGCTTTCTCTAGGATCCAGTCTGAGTACGGTGCCCAGCTTCCTCCCTCTTCACTTGCGTGCAGGGATTTCTCCATCTCCTGCTTCCATTCTGGTTGCTTGGTCCCCCGTCTCAGGGTCACCTTTCTTGATTCCTTTCCCCACTCACTTTTCTTTCCAACGCCCATCGACCAGCGAGGCTTGTGGTCCTGTGTCTCCACCACTTCTTCTCCCGAGGAATCTGACCTCTCAGATCCCAACATCTGGCAAGGTTCCAACTGGGTCAGCGGCTCTCTTTCCAGGGAGTTTTCCCCCTCTCTTGCTCCATTGTCTGACATGGTAAATTTTTGCAAAATCCCCCGGCAAGGGTCTCCCTTCCAGGTGGATTAATTTTGCAAGTCCTGTCTAATGTAAGGACCCACCCCACTTTGCATCTTAAGAAGACAGAACTCTTGGAATAATTCTTCCAACAGGAATCCTTTATTAAGAAGAAGTTGTTGCAGGCATGCTAGACAGGACTTGGGGTCCAAGCTCTCCCTTTCAAGGTTTTAAGGGGTTCCCCAGCAGTCCCACCCAATCACCTCCCCTTCCAGTGATAGTTTCAGGCATCACAATTCCACCCCCTTGCTCCTTTCTTTTGTCTGTATGGAGACTTCAGATAACTACATGAAAGGTAATTAGCTCTCTTTTGTGATGGTAAAGTTCTTTGTTGCTATTTACATTCAAAGTCTCTCTTTGAAGTTGCAATAAACACATTCAGCTCCCTAGAAGTCTACTGAAGGAAGTGAGGGCCATAAAGCCCCTTTGTTCTCCCCCTTCTCTCCCTCTTATGGCAGAATCCAGAGAAGGCAGAATTGGGAGTTTCTATATTTGATAATTAAAGATGAAATATAATTGGATTCTGACAGGTCCACTTGCCCAGCCCCAGGTTCGGCACCCTTTCCACTGCCACCTACCACGACCACACCCGTACCATATCTGGTCCGCCACCATGCTCTTGCTGCCGTGTTGCTTCTCCACCCCATACATAGGCCCTGCCCCACCCCCATGCTCTCACGGCCTACTGGTACTGGTACCGGTAAAAAGTAAGCCCTCCCTGAAAGTAAAACCTTCTGCTTATTTCAGAACCCAAAAGAAAGTAAGACAGGGTCTTACTTTCGGGGAAACACGGCATTAATAGAGTAAAGCAACGTATGGCACAAATAAGAGTCCCTTTTCAGTGGTCCACAGATTACCTCCACACCATGCCACTAAAATACAAAAGTAACACCCCCCCCATTTTCAGTGAAAAATTATAGCTTAAAAAATTGAACATTATTTTTTGCCCCGCTGTGCTCTCCCAAAAGATCCACATTAATCATATTAAGCTTATGAGTGAACAAAACACTTAGCTGCATTTCTAATCCCACTCTCAAAGTTGAAAGGGAAAGGGAGTTTATACATAGCAATATTAAATCCAAACTGAAAAGCAACATCTCTTTTCACCACATCTGTGATATTCTCTGCTCCAATCACCTTCTCTTATACTCACTCCATCCTTTGCTATTTAAGCAGGAAGCTTAGGATGAGAGAGTGTAATTGTCACCACATGTAGTTGCTGCTATATATTTTTCAAGAATGATACATTTTCTCCACATTGTGTCCATAGAGTGGCATGTTTTACCTGTGTTGGATTATTTGCATATATTCACCAGGATGACTGCTATACAAGTGGGAACCAATGATACCTCCCTTATCCTGGATCTCAGACTATGGCATGCCAAAAGGTAATATGTCTGTATCTGTACAAAGAGCAATAAATCCTGCCCTGTATTACCTGAGGAAAGACAAAAGGCACCCTGAGGCAAAAAATTTCTGTCTCTACTATGCAAAGCACAGAACAGTCAACAACACCGTACACAAAAACTTGAGTTAATGTTACTGGAGAATGAATGAGATTATCATTGCCTAGAAATATAAAAACCTAAACTACAATCATCCCAGAATCTCTGCTTTCAAATTCTGATGAATAAGTGAGTCGTGTAGTTTTTCTTTCATGTTCAGTGAAAGGTTTCAAAATACTTTTTCCTCCATTGACAAGATTCACAAGATAGCTTGACAATACATAGGTTATTAGCCTCTTTTTATTTGCTCTATTTGAAATATTCCAAATAGTACCGCCTATAACCTTCAAGTATCATTACTTGTGGCTCACAGCAAAACTATAGATAAGTGAATTCATTTCTGATAAGAGCTGTTCACCCTTTTGGCTGCTGGCTACAAAGTCATCCCAGTGCAGAGAATGAGTATCTATTTGTCACTGAGATTATCAGAAATCAACTACCAACATTTCAGGGATGGATCACCTTTTTTGGTTATATTTTATCTAGGTTCTAATATTAATCTGTGACCATTAAAAACTTATGCTGTTAAAGAAAACTGTATTTAAAAATAAATTTAATCTGCATTTAAATGCATATTTGAAGAGACATAAATAATCTTTTTGTTCAAAAAAATGCATTTGGAGGTATACTTTCCCCAATACGATTGCTTGGTAGATTATATATCTTTCATCAAGTCAGTGTTGAGTTTTAGCAATCACGTAGATAGATTTCCCCAGCCTCATCTTACAGGCCTTCCAATGTGCACCAATCACTGCTGTATTTCATTCCGTGCACCTTGTTGCTTCCATCCTCTTCTTCTCTTTCCTTTTATGTTTCCTAGCATGATAGACTCGTAAAAAGAGCTAAATCTTATCCTTTATGTGTGAAGTGTGATAATTTGAACCTAGTCATTTGCACTTTGAGTGAGATGTCTGGGTTGATTTATTCAATTATTCATTTGTTTCTTTTCTTAACTAACCCTGCTATTCTGAGGAGTCTTCTCCAACACCAGAATTCAAAATCCTCAATAATTCTCTCTTATCCTTCTTTTTCAAAGATCAACTTTTGCTTCCACAAAGTGTTACAGGGAAAACTATTCCTTGCATTATGCTGATCACTGTACAGATCGACATCCTAGCATCTGGTATATTCACTGCTACTCTACCAAGTGCTAGTATGTTCTTTCAGTGTACACATTTCTAAATGTCAACTAAAGCAGTACACAACAATATTTGACAATATGTGATCAATTATATACAACAGTATGCCAAGATACATCTCAGTCCAGGAAATATGTAAGCATATTACTAAGAATAAGCCTTGAAAACATACTGTAGAGTAGTGTCAAATTCTTGACTGAGTTATGCAGTTCCATCCAAAACTATTTAAAAATTGTATTAAAGAGAATAAAGCACTTACAGCTTCCAAATTTTAATGGGCAAGCATGGGCATCCATGGGAAAGTCTTCAAGTTGCATGGGGCATTCCGCAGATATGGTTAATCTAACAGGAAGAGAGACAGAATTCAAGTTTTTCTTCTGATTCAGAAATAAATATCTTTGTTTCAAGTAACAGTGTCAGGCTGTTTTGAATTTTTAGTTTGATAGTTAAATGACTTCTAGGCTAATATTCAGAACCACTGAATATTAATTGATAACATTTTCTCAGACTGTATAATTAACAGTTTCCTTGCCGTGGCAAAACCTTGATTCAGCAGATCTCAATAAAATGGATTTTAGATACAACAGACAAACAATTCTGATGCATTTATAGGAAGGTAAAGGTAATGATTTTCCTGTCCAGTAATGTCCAACTCTAGGACCTGTTGCTCATCTCTCTTTCTTGGCCAAGGGAGCAAGCACTGTCTGAAGACATTTTCCGTGGTCATGTGGCTAGCATGGCTATCCACCAAAAGTGCACAGAATGCTGCTACCTCCCCACCTAAATGGTACCTATTAAGCTACTCACATTTCATGCTTTTGAACTGATAGGTGGGCAGGAGCAAGGAATAGGAGCTCACCCTGTTGTGCAATGCTCAGGTCTTGAACCCAGGCTGTCAACTTTCCAGCTGATAAGCTTAGTGTCTTTAACTACTGAGCCATTGTGCCCAGTATTTATAGTATTGTATGTAATTTGCATAATGGCAGTATCATGGATGATATTCTTTCCAACTTTATGGATTATTGGGAATAATGGATCTTATCAACCCAAGTAATCTATTAAATTGAGGTTTCACTGTATTTTAATGTTTAGTGCTAACAGCGTAGGCAGACAAAGAATGAACTATGTTTTTTAAAATCTTAATAAATGCTTGGTAATTTTAACACTAATCCTGGCAATCTTCCACATCTATCTCACTTCAGAGCTAGGCCCACATCAAATGAGGTCTTATGTGTCGGAAATGTCAAATGGAATTCAAAGACCTCAGAGACTCCTTTAAGACTTCCAAACCTACAGCAAGCACATCCTTTTTATAGTCTCAGAAAGCAAATAATCAAGCAATGTGACCAGGATCTTTATCTTGGAGGCCAGCATCAGGTAGATAATTGCTCCTTAAAGAAGGTTTCAGAATGGTGAACTGCACTGGGCTATAGGAAATTGCAATTCATACTAGTGCTGCATAATAATGGGAGGAGAGACAATTGGCTATCCAACTTAGTCTTCTAAGGTCTCTGAGGTACATGTGAATCAACAAACTCTAGGGATCTTCAAAAGTTATGACTAAACTATAGATTTTATGACAGAAAACATATTATATTAAACATATAATTAGAAAGTGATTGTATAAGTTGTATTTAATTTGAGTGAACATAAAGCAGTAAGTCTTAGGTAAAGTCAGAAGGGGATGGGGCAGAACAGTCTTCTTGTTGGACAAGTAGTAGAAGAATATATATTTAATGGGCTTCTGATATCTGACCCAGAACATTTCCCTTTCCAGCTGTAAATAATATTTTATGAATCCCAAGATCAGTTAGTTGCCTGAAATGATTTGTTTCCGTCATTTCACAAAGCTAGTGCAAAATAATCTAGTCCCTAAATAGCAAATAGCTTCAGCACTGTTGATGTGCATCAAGGTGCATAGTATCCAAAATCAGTCAATTGATGTTAGCAGAAAATCTCTGAAGAGCTCTATTTCCCCCTTTCAGTATGCTTCATTATGATCAGTGACTTCTTCATGATATCAGAAATCAGCTGTCTGACATGGATGCATCATTTAAAGCAATAGGGGGGTTATTATACAATAAATGGGTATTATTATACAGTATAGTAATATAAAACTAATGCAAGGGTTATTATAATCCCTAAATCCCAGCCATGGTTTTGTAAACCAAATGCTAGTCCTATGAGATAGGCTGAGACAAGAAGTATCAATCATGAGTACTAACACCACCTTTACTATAAGGTTATAGTAACAAAATCTTGCAAGTCTGAAAGTACATCTATTCCATCATCATTACAGTTTAAGAAATTATGAAGACTCCCTCCTAAGAAGTTTGCCATGCTTTGTCCATTGCTTCTGTGGGCTCAATTGCTGCTTATCTGACCATTAGCAATAATGCTAGCACTTAGACTTATATATCATCTCACAGTGCTTTACAGCAGCATTCCCCAAACTTTCTGGGTTGGCATTTCAACACGGGGGGGGGGAGAGGGGATGATTTTGTCTGAAGAGTGGGTGCATGCCACTCACACAAGTGGGGCTGCAAGCGCTGGTACCTACCACGAGTTCAAGTGGGGCTGTGAGCAAACGTGTGCTGGCTCGCCACTCAAACAGCCTGGTTGTAAATAGGCCATGACCCAGTAGCGGACCATGGGCCACAGGTTGGGGACCCCTGCTTTACAGCCCTCCCTAAGCAGTTTACAGAGTCAGCATATTGCCTCCAACAATCTGGGTCCTCATTTTACCAAACTTGGAAGGATGGAAAGTTGAGTCAACCTTGAGCCAGTAAGAATCGAAGGAATCGAACTCCTAGCAATGTGAGCAGAGTTAGCCTGCAATACTGCATTCTAACCACTGCACCACTATGGCTCATATCTAATCTGTGGCTCCTCCTCCCTGTTTCTCAAGCATATTCTCACAGAGAATTACAACAATATTACTCACAGAAAGGAAAAAAAACTCCTGAGTTTTCTACTAGAAATATCCTATGTTGTATGTATAGTTACAATATGATGTGAATATTAAAAAAAGGCATTAAAATCAAGAGTTTTGTATTCCCTGTTTGCACAGGATCTTTTTTTCTCCAATTATATATAATAATACTGTTATATTTCATTTGGGAAGAATCTCAACTTAAAGAGTAAAGGAAAGGGGAGCTTTTGAAAAGATGTGATTGTATTTTTAAGCAGTGTACTATTAGCCTAAGTTAAAAGAAAGAAAGAAAAAGAAAGAAAAATGAACACCAGGATAGAATAAACCAGACTGTTTAATATAAACAAGACTGTGGTTAAAAAAATCACTAAGCTTTCGTTGGCCTGACTGCCAATGTCGTCAGAGTTGGAGTAAAAGGAGGTCTGGGAGCTAGCCTATATAACAACCTGCCTCTGCGCCCGGCTTCTTGAGCGAGTCATCGGCCCGTTGATTGTGTTCATCCGTAATGCGCCGAGTTGCTCCACATCTGGCAGCCTGACAGTGTACTATACATTTATCCATCTTTTGTATCTGTTGATTTATGTTAGCCATTCATTATTGTGGTTCAATATGCGGTCCTTTTCACACATGCATATGCATGATGGGGATAATTTTGGCTGGTTATTTCTCTTTACATTTGTATTTTCTGAATAACCTGGGAAGTGACTGTATTTTCTGGTGGTTGCCTTATGCCACACAGTCACTTTATATCAGCAGTTCTCAACCTGTGGGTCGGGACCCCATTTGGGGTCGAATGACCATTTCACGGGGGTCACCAAACAACACAGTCCGCCATTTTTTCCCCTTTTCCTTAGTTGTGCTACTCCCTTTTATTCTATTGGCTTTTGAAAGCCAATAGAATAGACTCTCTTGAATAGAGTCTAATTCTATTGGCTTTTAAAAGCCAATAGGAATTGTCCAGGCTGTCTCTGCCCTGCTGAGCTCGCCAAAAGTCCCATTCTGCTACGCTTCGGCCGGCGCAGGGGGCAGCACCACGCATGCGCGGTGCTCCTGGGCAGGGAAAGTCCTCGACTTACGACCAGTTGGGGTCACGGTATTAAAAAGGTTGAGAACCACTGCTTTATATTAGCAGCTTTTGGGTATCTCTGTACTAGCAGAATCCTCCTGTTTTGTGAACTGCCTCAAACAGTCAGGTCTGCCCCGAGACATTTAGGAAAGAAAGATCCTTGACTCCATTTCTTTGAATGAAAGGATCTTTTACTAAAATCAAGAAATCTAATAAGAAACTATGATGGTTGCACAAAGATCTCTCTGATAAACTCAAAGACAAAAAGGACAAGTACAAAAAAATGGAAAGAGGGACACATAACTAAGGAAGAATATCAGCAGAAAGCCAGAATCTGCAAAGAAGTCAGGAAAGCAAAGGCTCAGAATGAACAAAGACTTGCCCTAAATCAAAGATAATAAAAAAGTTTCTTTCAACATATTAATAACAAGAAAAAAAATCAAGGAAAGGGTTGGTCCACTAAAGAGAGAAGATGGCAAGGAAGTAACAGGCAGAAGAAAGTAGAGCTGCATAACTCATTGTTTGCATAGATCTTCACACAAAAAGAAATTATAGCCTGTTAGAGAATTTTAATTTCTCTATTGGTGAAAAAATAAATCAGAAGCTCTCACAGTTGACTGTATTTAGCTGATTCAAAATAACTTCTTATATTTATATCAAAATATTTACAATACCATACATTCTTCTTTACAGCAACATAGTTCAATTGAAGACGTCTTACAAAGAGATACAGAGACAAACCTGAGACTGAAAATTCGGCTTCTAACTCAATACCTTTTTTGCACAGACTCAGTAGCACTTTCTTCACATTGGCTGACTGAGTTACCACATGACTCTTCCTGCTCATGAATATTCCAATGTAGCCGAACCCACCAAAAACATAACTGAAAAAGACAGGCTGGAAATAAAAGTTAAAATAAACAAAAAAATGGTAAGGGAACACCTATCTGATATTGATGAACATAAATCACTGGGACCTGACAGATTAGATCCCAGAGTTCTGAAGGAACTGGCAGATGTCATCTCAGAACTACTGTACCATATTTTTCAAAAATCCTGGAGCACCGGGAAACTACCAGAGGATTGGAAAAGAGCTGATGTGATTCCCATCTTCAAAAAAGAAAAAAAAAAAACAGATCCAGGAAACTACAGACCAATCAGCCTAACATCAATACCTGGGAAGATACTGGAAAAGATAATCAAAAAACTAATCGGCAAACATCTAGAGCAGTGATGGCGAAACTTTTAGAGATCAAGTGCCCCAAAACCGCCCCGCCCCCTGGCCCACCCCCGCTCTGCCCCCTGCTCTGCGCTCCCCCTGCAGGGCCACTCACCACAGATCAC